TAATAGATTCTAAAAATAGTAGAAAGAAATGAAACAAATGACATGGCACAGACCAAGAAAGCAATGGAAAAGAGTAAAACCATTATGAAATCAAAAATTACATTAGAAGTTACAAACTAGAATAAACACAACTGAAAACTCACTTGGGTTATGGTTAACAAGAGTTGACAAATTTATAAATACAAAAGTGATTATAAGAAATATTATATATAGTACAAAGGCAAAAGAGAATGAACATAATTAGCACTTAGAAAGAAAAATTATTTAGACAAACTATAGGGAAAAAGCTTTCCTGAAATAAAGACTGAAATGTGGAACAAAAACACACAGAGTCCCCAGAAACTCTTGCTTTATTCAACACTGTCTAAATTTCAACAATCTCTCCAGTTTTACCCTAGTATTTTTAATCTTAAATTTAGACAAAGGTAGAGTCAATGTTTTTCTTTTATTATTTAACAATATTCATTTATGAAATATTTGGCTCCTAAATTTATAAAACTGCCTTTTAATCAATCACTCACTCTACTCTTCTATACAATCATATCTATACAGAAGTATCTGGCCTGATATTCATGAAATATTAACACTTCCTTGGGGGTGGGATTTTGAGATTGTTTTTAAATTTCTGTAATGCCTATCTTCATTTTTAACAATTATGTATCATTGTAACAAATGACAATGAAGTCACTGGGATTGAAAAGAAGAAATGAAATGCCAAGATTAACAGAGAGAAAAGAAAAATGAGACCTCTCGATTCTTGTATGATCTCCAGATTTGTGGCCCTCTGTTCCATAGCTCATACAGCAATCAAGTGAGTTCTCTAAAACAGAAGCATAGCATATTCATTTTCATCTTACTATCTTGCAAGATCTTCAATAAATTGCCACTAGTCCAGGATCAAGTCTAATTTCTTTAGTAATTTACACAAAACTCTCTAATCCAGCTCCAGCAGGTCTTTCCAGCATCACCATCTTTCACTTCCCTGAATTCACCTTCCCTCCTACTGCTTGGAATAATTTGTAGTAAGAGTTCTTCATGCTTCAGGAGGTGGTAAAAATGTGCTCTTGTTTGTTTGTTTGTTTGTTTGCGGAAGTCAGCAGAGGGGCTGAAACTCCAAATTATTCCACACAATTCAGTTCAAAATCATCTGTGTGAAGCCTTCCCTGCCATCGCTCTTTTTCCTCCTCATAAACAAAGTTATAAAATTACGTGCATCATTTTCCACCCTCTGTATCAGTGCCAAGCTGAACAATATTAAAGCCTGATGCAAAAGAAAAAATATGTTAATACTAATCTTATATTTATTTAAAATTTAGGTATTTTGTTAATCATACATTTTTGTGTGAATTTTGATTTTTAAAAATATTCTTTCAAAATATTATTTATCTTGATTATTAAGGTTTTTGATGCCCCTCTATATTTTTTGTGCTTTAGGTGAGGGTTCACTCATATCACCCTAGTCTTAGTCTACTCTGTAGGGCTGAAGCACTTATTACACTCTATAGTTACCTTGTCTACACATCTATTATCACTACCAGACTGGGACCACATAAAAGGAAAGGAACCAGTTTCATTTCTCTGTGTATATCTAAAAATGAGCATAGTACCTAATATGGAGCAGGAACCCAGTTAGTAAGGATGAATAAATACCCAGACAAGAGAAATAACCAAATTCTTTAAAGAATAAAATCTTCCACACGGAAAAAAAATCTAATCTAAATGGAGATGGGTGTTTGTTTGTTTGTTTTAGCTTTGTTTTCTTAAGGTTAGGGAAACTTAGCTTGAGTCAAGTCATGAGCTTAAAGTAATTAGGCAGTGAAACTAAAATCAGGTTTTTTTCCCCATGAACATCTATTTGTGGTACAAAGTTTTGAGTGTATCTATTCCAAGAAATGCCTGTATTTAGCCTACTATGAGAATCAGAAAATATTAAAATTAAAAGAAAGTTTAGGTAATATTTAATCTTCCCATCCTCTTATAAATAAGGAATCAAGCCTAGCAAAGTTAAGTGATTCCTTTAAAATCACAATAGAGTCAGAACTTGAAATGAGGTCATTCATTTCTCCACCTGGTGTTTTTCACTGGAGGTTATTGACCAATCTAGAAGAGGGGACCATTGGAAAACAGTGAGTGAGGAGTGGGGATTTTTTCTAGGTCAGGCAGAACTGACCAGCTCACGGGTAAAATAAACCACAAATTTTTTACTTATTGCTTGAAACATGGTCACTGTTAAGGTGAAGTGATTGAAAAATGACCTTTCAAAGTTAATTCTGGCCCCTTGCTTTTGTCTTTGTCACCCGCCTCTCTGTGATTCATTTTCATCGGTAAGAGAGTGGCTCTACTTTACACCGACTCTAATTCAAGATTTGTGGGGTGCGATATAAAACATACACTATTCAAATACTCTGTATATGAGCAAATGCAAGTCATTTTTAACTGCAGATTAATCATATAAATACACTATTATACTCGGTCATGCCTGGAGTAAATTGGAAGTAATTACGTATAAGGTCCAACTTGGAGTTGAAAGCTAGGGTATAGATACTGGTACTGAAAAAGACAGTTCTGAATTTCATCTTTAAAAGATAAGACATACGTAGTTACCATTCTCAGCCAGAATTCTTCTTCACACATTGCCAAGACTTTGAGCTCTCCTAATGACTCTTGTAAGATTTGCTAATAGTAAAAAGTGACTGGTTCTTCACAAAAGTGTTTTATTTAACACAGCTCTAAGTTATTGGGAAGATAGCAATGACGACCAAAATAAAAAATGTAGTCATGACTTGATTTGATGAAATTCAGTTAGGGAAAATAAACTATGCATGATTATTATTATCATCATTTTGTGCAAATGAAATAATTCCTTTTTTACTAATGATTAGACTTTCTGGTCAATTTATTCTTCACGCTAACAATTAAGAATTCCTTAGTTAATTTTGCCCTTTCTCTTCATTTGGCCACCTGATTTATTTTAAAATCTTCCTCATATGCAAAGAAGAAAACTATAGGTTCACCTGGATCCCTAGGCTACAAATCTAATATCATTAATTTTTACCCCTTTAAAATCTGTAAAATTTATAGAAGAATTTCTTTTTTAAAAAGGAAAGAAGCCAGTAAGATATTTCTTAGGAATAGGCCAATGGATAAGCAAGGAGTATATTCCTCAGTAAAGAAATAACGTCATTTCATTGGAATAATAAGCAATCATAGCTTCCAACAATAATTTCAAGCATTGTCCTCAAGGCTGGAAATCTACTCACATTCATAAAATAACTTATGATAAGCTTTTTTTGTACAAGTACTCTTTATTAAACATATACATATATACAAATTTTATTTGGCCTCATATTACTAGCATCAATTTATAAGTGAGGACTTGGATTGGATGATTTTAAAAGCATCTTTCAGCCTTAAAATTGTTAGTGATTCTAGGACATACCTAGAGTGATAGCCAAAAAGGAATTCTCAGATATGACTCACAATTAATATTTGGCATTTGCACATTTTATAGTTCTCATATACAACCATTCCAAGGCAATGCAATAACTGAAAAACTAATGGCAATTATTTAATGTCATTTCTTTTGTAAAAAATAAGAGATTCTGCTTAGAAGGTGGTCATTTTTATCAAAATGTTCCCCCAAACATCCGGAACACATTCATTCACACAACCCAGATCAGGAAGAAAGAAATATAGAAGAAAAATCTGGAAGCAACACAACAAAAAACTAGACCTAGATTTAGTGTCATAAGACAGCTGCAAGAAATTCAATTAAGTTGTTAAGCCTAAGTAATGAAAAAGAAAAGTTAGTACATGAAAACCCTGATAAATTCTTTACCAGAGTCAGCAGAATCTTACCCCTTGGCTATGATCTTTCTTCTTTACTCCATTCCTTTGCTGCTCTTTTGATTTTAAAATACTCACCTTCGTTATGAAACCGTACAAAAACTGCCCTCCCCCAAAACACTAAACTTCCCAGAAATACAAAACTACTGACACAAAAACTTTCCAGAAGATTAGCATTTCATCAGCCATATAGACCTATGTTGGGGAAAGCATCTAAAAGGCCTTGTATTGAGTTCCTAATTCTGATGATTTAATGGTTCTGATCAAATTCTATCCTACTATTCTGATCAAATTTGAGACAGATAACTGATATGATCTTATAGTGCCCAGATTTCTTCTCTTAGGTACACAGTGCTTCTTATTTAGAGAACAATCTGTACACATTTTCATTATATTTTGAAGTCAATTGCTGAAGCTGTGCTAATGTGTTACCCTCTATAATATAGGAGAAACAAATATTTTCAATATGCTCTCAGACTCTAAATAAATTTTTTCCATTAAAGAATGCAATGTCCTCTGCTAGTTTATGGTTCGTTAGCATGCACTGATTGTTCTACTATTCAAGTAATAGCGTAGATAAAGGTGAAAGAGCTTTCTTAGAGAGAGTGTCTAGCTTAGTGCCTGGAACATGGTAGGCTCTGAATAACTATGTGTTAAAGAATACATAACTGAATGAACTACTGTCAAAAAGAATTCATACAATGAGTTAAACTTTGGCTCAAAGCACAGATTTTCAAGTCAAGTGTTAAGTCCTGTTTGGCCAACGTAAGACAGGGAACACATCCTCCCTGGTCTCTGTTTTTGTTTTTGATACAGCAGAGGTTTCACTCATTGGTCAGTATTTGTTTTGTTCCATTTCCTTTTAAAAATGTTTCATTTAACAAGAAAAGTCCTTTTCTTGCAGATACTAGAAGGATCTCCAAAGGTCACCTCATATGATATCCAATAAACAATTCTGATTAAGGGCAGTGCCACTGGGAATTTAGGGTGGTTGGTTGATATTCATAGTGTATATGAAAAAATGTCGTAGTCTGTTTTCAAATTTCAATGTGTAAGTATGTACCACGTATCTCTAGTAGCCCTATTTCTCTTGTCCCAACTTTCCAGGATGGTCTGCAATTCATCTAATTTGAATGCTGAACTGACTCTATTCAAAGCATTTTTCTGCAGTGAAAGATGGCTCACTCTCTCTTCACTGAGGAATGAATTAACTCTCCCAATAACTGGCTTGAATTTTTTAAATGTAAAAATTACATAGACTTTTTATTTTAATAAAGAACAATGGTTTATCTTTAAAAACATTTAAAAAGGCATTCTGCATTAAGTTCATCATCTTTTAGGAAACTACTCTAGCAACAAAATTACATTAGACTTTCTGATTTCTCCATAGTGTCCTTAGATAAATAAACAACCCAATAGACCATGTTAAATGCCCCGAATGTTACTGGAAAGAGAATGCGGGCATATTTGTCTATTTTGCTTGTGCCAGATCCAGGCGGTGGTGGAGCAGAGGGAGGAGTGGTGGCTGACAACTTCCCAGGAGCCCCTATGGTATTAACGGTGGTCTTAATTCGCTCCAGTCTCGATCCGAACACACGGTGGGTAGAAGCAGATCCAACGGAAGCCTGTTGGGACACATACCCAGTTCTACGAGGAGTAGAAGGAGGAGCAGATTGAGGTGCTCTTGCAGCAGATATCGTTTCCGCTGCATTTGCATGGCTGAATGGGTTTGGACTGGAAGCTAAGTAAGACTTCGATGTGGCTTCAGAAGATCCTTGAAGAACTGTGGAAGATTTGCTCGAATGGTTTCCCACCTCAGTTCTGTTGCCAACATCAGATTCAGAGTGAACCGAGGCATTTGATCTTTTCCTCATGTTCAGACTGGCATTTGTGTTCTGAAAGGGTATATTAAAAATTACACTGATTATGTCATTTTATGTAGATTTATATGAAACTTAAAGGGATCAAATAATTAAAATTCATTGCTTCTATAAAATAAGCTGTTATTAATATGCTCTAGCCACTCAGCTTGATGTAAAAGCTTAAAAATACCTAACTAAAAAAGAACATGAATGTATTTGAAACTCTGAATCAAAAATCTTCTATTTCAAAATATTGTCCACTTTTATAAGTAATCAGAATTGAAATCTTTAGAAAGATTTGGCTTTTAGAACTATAAACTAGACTTATGCTTGATTTAATTTTAGGAGTCCATGATGATAGCAGTACAACTTCTTTGTTCAGTTTTATTGTAAATCATATTCTGTGATAGGTTGTATATCCTTCAGTGAGTTTTACATATGTTTTTTTTATACACAGGAGGAACTGTACTTACTCTTGTGCACAGAATAACAATAATAACCATCTATATGTGCACGACATTCCTTAAAAAAAGGAAACTCCAAAAGCTTAAATTTCCAAAACCCTGAAATTTATTTTCATAATCTTACATAGGCAATAATACACATTATTATAAAATCTGGAAATCCTAATGCATTTTGTTTTTTCACCACAATAATAAAAATGCAAAGGAGCATTAATTTTAAATAAATGTTATATTAGACATATAAACAGCATCACCATACCATTGCATAAATATCTGAATTCAACTACTTACCAAGAAAGGGTGTTTAAATCAAAATGGAACTCACTATTTTCCATCAAATTACTTTATGTGTAGAACAAGACTATACTTGAATACAGATGCATGATAAAGATTAAAATTAATTCTCCTTATATTCTGGCAGGCATGATAAATAACTGGATAGCTAACTATAGATTGTCCATGCTAATGAAGGAAAGCAATGCTCAAATGATTCCCCAAATAGTCATGTCTGTCTTTAGAATATACCATGATTTTTTTGTAAAAACATTTCTTCCTTAATTATGTTTATCCTAAGCTGCCTTAGGATAGTTGCCTTCTATACCCTCTCCCCTTACCATTTTATGAAAAAGATGGTAAGTGAGGAGATGAAGAAGGAGAGGAAGAAGACCAGTGCACAAGTGGGTGATTAGAAGGAGCCAGCCTACAGGAATATCACAGATAATATCATATACAATTGACTGACAGCTCATTTTACAGAGACATGTTTATTCTACAAATATAATCCTTTTTCAAAACCACACCCATCAAGTAGGTTGAAAGTGTTTAATCTGTATCTAATGTATTTGTGGATTATGACTTCAAATTTGCTAAGTAGAGAAAGAATAAAAGCCTCACAAAATATAGAGCCAAAGTAAGATATGAGAGGTTTAGAAAGTATTCTTTATGTCCGTCTGGAGTATTCTCCTAGGCAGGTTCAGTTGAACTCATGAGAAATTGTAGTCTAACATATGGCACCTAATTTTGGTGGAGACAATTGAAACTAAAATTGACATCAACATAAAAGCTAAAGATACCATTATTTACCCTGAAATTTTCCTCTACAAAGCACATTGTAAATGTCAATTAATCCTCAGATTTTGAGTCCTTTTTTACAGAATGGAATAATAGTTAATCGATTAACATTAATTTTGAAATGTCATACACACAGTGAAGAATATAAACAAGAAGGTATATCCACATTTAAAGAGCTTACACTATCATTGACAAGATGCATACCCACACACATGATTCAAAGTAAAATATAGTGAATGTCAAACTAGTAAAATGCTCAATATACTAAGAAGAGAAGGGAAGAGAGGAATAGCAGACCAATTAAACAAGCAGGAAAGAAACATGTTTTCAAATATAATCTGATATTTGCATACTGCTTTCTTCCACAAAAAGTTAGGCTGCCCGTAATCTTTAGAAACTCATATTTTCCCCAAAACTAAATTCTAAGAATCAGAGACTTCCACTTCTGGCCAAAATTGAGTTAAAGGGACTAAATTTACTCTCCTGTATGAAATGACAGGGGAAAAAAAAAAAAACTGGACAAAACATGTGAAGCAATTGTTTTGTTTTGTTTTTTCAAAGATTTTATTTATTTATTTGCGAGAGAGAGAGCACACAAGCAGGAGGAGGGGCAGAGGGAGAAAGAAGCAGACTCCCCGCTGAGCAGGGAGCCCAATGCCGGGCTTGATCGCAGGACCCTGTGATCATGACCCCAGCCGAAGGCAAATGCTTAACCGACTGAGCCACCCAGGCACCCAAAGCAATTGTCTTTTGAAGACACTGAGCATTAGACAACATAGAACCATAATCCTTGAGAGAAGAAGAAACAAACTTGAAAGCAAATCCATGCTGTAGAACAGGAAAGGAGAATCCAGGAGAAATACGACAGATTCCCTGAATTGAGGACATGAGCTGAGAATCTGGGGAAGTCAAGGTGGCTAGCATTTATAGGAAAAAGTAACAGGCAAGTGTATGCTAAAAAAGGTGAGAGAGAGAGAGAGAGAGAGCATGCTCCAAAAATCTGAAAGAGTCTCCATTGACTATTGCGCTAAGCCCAGATCAGTTTATGAGTATGAAGCACTACCCAAGGCTGCAAAAAGAACCCCCTAAAAGGATTAGAAGAAACAGTGCTTGGAACACACAAAACTAGGGATAATGCATGCTCCCACCAGCCAGACTGTAAAATCTCACCATTCGTGTAGCGTTTGGTAGAGTACGAAGAAGGACCTTGCTTCAGTAATATGGAATAATTAGCCCTAAACACAGCTCTAGTCCTGCTGAATGAATTTTAAAAGTAAGAACTGAAAGGATGAAATTAACTCTAAGTGACTTAGGTGGGCCCCAGAAAAAAGTACAAGAACATTTACAGGATCTGTCTTCTTTCCCTCTAGGTCTGCAACTTTCTGCAACTTCCTGAAATCCCAACTGTGAATCGTGTTCTATATCGTTGATTAAATACAGAAATTGCAACAAATTTTCCTCCTTCTCCGTATTCATATTCATGCCCCCTTGTGACATGAATGTCCCACTCCTCTCCCATCAAGAGATGGAGTTTTTTTCCCTACAGTCTTCCTTATAACTTTCTCTGGCCAACAGTATGTGGTGGAAGTGATGGGTGTGTCATTTTTGTCTTAGCCTTAAGAGTTCTTGCTTGCTTCCACTCTCTCTCAAAACACTGCCATCAACACCACTAGAACAAGCTAGGACTAAATTGCTAAAAAGATCCTTTGGAGCAGAGCCAGTCATCCCAGTGAGGCTATCTTAGGTCACCCAACAGTTAGCTGATCACTAGACACATGAATCTGTCCCAGCTAAGAGAGGATGAACTGCCCAGCCAAGCCTAATCAAGATCAACAGAACTTCCCAGTTAACCCATAGACTTGAAAGCAAAATTAAATGTTTATTGTATGCCACTGAAATTTTGTACTTGTTTGTTATGTAGTATTGTTGTGGCTCTAGATAACATATATAGTCCAATTAAATCAAGGGTCCTAACAGAAGATATTGCCCAACTTATTGTGAGGGGGGAGTTCTCAAACATTCTGGGGTAAGTAGGAGGCTGACCTGCCCAGAATTCATCGAAGACCATTAGGAGGCCCTGTTGACTAACTCCACATACTAGCTAAAGGACCAAGATATTTTGCCCTTTATAATCCCATTCTTAAAGAATAACGGTATTTTAAAACCGGGAGAAATTCTAAAATTCCAGCTCCTCATTTTAGGTGTAGAGAAAAGTAAGAACAATAAAGATTATGACTGGCTTGAAGTCATACAGCGAGTTACTTACAGAGTGTTTTGCCATGTTATATAGCCTCTTGATAAACAAATGCAGAGGAGCCATTAAAGAACTTAATAAACAACACCTATCTATTTGAGGCAGTTAAGTATTTGTAATAGTTAAGTACGTTGTTAGAAACTGATTAAAGACTTGGAAATCAGAAAAGAGTACAGCATGTCCTTTCAATGTCACAGTGGGGCATTGTTTAACAAGTCCACCTGAGGATTATTAAGCTTGTAGGGAAACTTACTTGAGTGTGATTTTGCTATTTAGTATTGGATTTGAGTGCAAACACTGTGAAGTTACGTGTTAACTTGTGGCTTCCTGTCCAGTAGAAAAGACCACCAAAGGTTGTTATGGTTTGGTTGCCCTGTAGGATATTAATCACTTCTATATCATACCTAGTATTTATTGTAGTACTCCATTTTTTTAAATGGCTACTTATAATCATTAAGAAGATTTTGAACGTGTTTTACCATTTATGTGGTTTCCTCATTAATTAATGAGTTGGATAAAACTTCAGCAGATGTCCATTTCATATTTGTATGATTTCTCTTTTTGATGGTTTGAAAATTATATTCTGACTGGATATACTATATATTCTCACAACATCTACTATTAGACAAGTTATAAATATCAAAGAAATTAAGCATAGACTTGCAGAACACACCTGGAGAAAGAAAGTGATCCCAAGCCAAAGAGATAGGATCCATCTAAGGTGATTGGAAAAAAAGAACCAAAGAAGCAAGAGACTTCATGAAAATGGAGGGAGTGGTATGAAGTGTGCCACTAGGATTACCACTCCACAAAAGATCAAATCTTTTTATTCTCAGTTTAAAACTATTAGTAAGCTTCTAGAGTACAAATACTATCTTATTAATCACTGTAGGAGAATGCACACATCAGGCACCTACTTCATTTTTTAATACATTTCATTGAAACAGATATATTATGGAATCAAGGTTCTTTTTCAAATTAAAAAAAATGAAGAGAAAATGTCAAAAATCTGGCCTCCAGATAACCATTCCTTTGTTGATGGGGCAGATTTCTAGAATATTGCAGACAGTGCCTAAGGTGTATGTTACCTTGATGCAATCCCAAGTCTGACTAAAATTGCCTAACGAGTCTCAATACTCTATATATCAGAACCCACATAAAGGAAAGCAGAATTAGACTGATTTGCGGCTTAAATCTTTGCTTCCTGTCAAGCAGCCAAATGATAAGATATTTTGTACTGATGT